AATAGATTTTGGTTTGACTGTATCTATTTGATAAATGAAGTTAACCAACTAACATTATACATACCCTTTTGGTTTCTGTACCCAATATTTAAAAAATTTACAAATGTAATAAAAATATAGGTATCGGCATCGGTATCGGCAAGTACCAAAAATAAAAGTATCGGTATCGGGCGAGTACTGGAAAAAGTGGTATCGGTGCATCCCTAGTTCAGATCGTGCTATATGTGGAGAATAATGCAGGGCAATCAGCTCTTTTTTTTTTTTTAAGTGGCGTTTATCGGATTTTGCAAATTAACTCTTCATATATAGAAAACAAAAACTCTGCTGGAAAATGTTTTGAACAAGAGTTAATGACAACAATTTTGAATTTCAAGTTAACTATCTCTTGAGAACAGCAAGGGTCAACGTAAAGGACTTCTGATAAAAATGAATCTCAATTTTTAAAAAATGCTGTGCTTATTTACAAGGCCACACAATTTCAATAATTTTTGCGATTATAGAAAAATGACTATAAAATTACAATTACTAAAAAATGAATGTTATTGTAAATATTAACTAAAATGTGATATTTTACATTACAACTGCAGAAATACAATATTTACATCTACGGCCATCTTTATTTATTCCTTCTTAAACATTAAACTAGGCTTTTTCATTTCTGATCAATACCGCACTTAACTCTGAAACACGCAATGCATATTGAAGTCACAGCCTTTCTATTTCAATTCGATTAATTATGCAATCCTACAAGCATCATGAGTAGCATACCCTTTGCAGCCTATATTTGGGCTCATTTTTCTTGGCGTAGTCCAACGAGTCATATATCATGCCGAACCCTGTTGTCTTGCCACCTCCAAACTGAGTTTTGAAGCCGAAGACGAACACCACATCTGGGGTGGTAAAGAAACTTCATAGGTTTGGAACAAGTGGTGAGTGAGTAAATGATGACAGAATTTTCATTCTGAATGTGTACTAGGCTCCTTTAAGGAGCACAACTGTTCCCCATTGATAAATAAATACATGCATGCATACATACATACATACATACATAGCCTACATACATTAAAAAAAACTTAATTGAACACTAAGGATATTGGAATTATTTCTAAAGGATCATGTGACTCTGAAATAATGTATGCTGCTAATTCAGCTTTGCCATCACAAAAATAAATGACATTTATTTGATAAATTACAATAAAATATTTACTTTAAATTGTAATAATATTTTGCATTACTGTTTATACTGTATTTTTGAGCAAATAAATACGGCCTTGGTGAGCATAAAAGACATAAAAAAAGACATAAAAATCTTACCAACCCCAAACTTTTGAACAGTATATACATAGTTGATGATAGATAGATAGATAGATAGATAGACAGATAGATAGATAGATAGATAGATAGTGATCAGATACATCTCATACATCTTGCATGCATCCTATTGCTCTCAGCAGATTCTCTACTCCAGAAATGACAGAGATGTTGGCATGTTTGATCTTGCACATTGAACTTGATCAACTATATGTATTCTGGGCACGACAGAGATGTCTTCTTCTTGTCTGGCAGACTCACAAAAAAGTACCTTGTCCTTTGTCGATTTGTCCTTAACAACGAAACGTTGACTGGACCACCTAATGCAAAAGGAAAAGGTGGACATGCAGTTCTTCTGGAAGTTCTCATTCATAAAAGCATAAATAATAGGATTGTTGAATGAATTTGAAAATCCTATGGCCTGTGCAACAGCAATAAGCATATTGACTGTGATGTCATCATACGTTTTGTTCAGGTAACCTGGAAACAAGAAAATACATTTCTTGCTGAATTTTGAAAGAAAACACACTGTAATGTGCACAGATATATTACTGGACACTTTGGTTTTCTTACTGTATTCAAACAGCATATGAACCGTATGAAAAGGGCCCAGCAGACAGTAAACAGCACAACAATTGGTGACCACATCTTGATGGCCCTTCGCTTCTTTCTGTTGCATAAAGAGGGAGGATTGCATAATGAGTAATCATTAGCAGTTTTTAGATATTCAATCCCTTATACACTACCAGTCAAAAGGTAGTTGGAATAACACAGTTTTTTTTATGTTTTTGAAAAAAGAAAAAATCTCTTATGCATTTATTATGCAACAATTATTATTATTATTATTTATAATTTTTTTTTAAATCTCATTTACTCCAAACTTTTGAATGGTAGTATATCACAGTTTACAATAAAAATGATTAAGTAACAAAAATGGCTTTCAGCATTGATAATATTAAGAAATGTTTCTTGAGCACCAAATCATCAAGTTAGAATGATTTCTGAAGGATCAAGTGACACTGAAGAAATTCAGCTTTGCCATCACAGAAACAAATTACATTATAAAATACATTATTATAAAAGTTATTTTAAATTGTAATAATATTTCACAATATAGACCAATTTCAGTGTTTGCAAACAGTGATGACGTTTTTTTGTGGGCGGAGCCTATCTGGTGGCAGAAAATGCCAGTTTTAACGTAGCAGTCTATGCAAGCCATGGAATAAAAAAGGAAATTTTGAGTTTATTTCAAAATTCTAATTTTTTTTCTTTCAATTCTGAGATTATATCTGGTCATTCTGGTAAGAAAAATCTACTCGTCATTCTCTCTTTTTCCCTCGGCTTAGAATCATAAGTTTATAATACCACACTTCTGGCTTTTTTTCCTCAGAATTGACAAACTCGCAATTGTTGAGTTGAATTAAGTTATAAAGTTCAAACTAGGAGATAAACTTGCATTTGCAAGAAAAAAAAAGTCAGAATTGTGAGTTAAAATAGGTAAATGTTATGTAAAATGTTACAGGTTTAAATATTTCATGCATGTATTTCAACTGTAGGGCTAATACAATATGTCCCCTATATGAATATTATATAGACCTATTGTTTAAATCTAATTTATGCTTTAAAGTAGGGTAATCATAGCAGGTTTCATCCATAGTCTGTCGGTTTAAACGTCTGCGTTTAGCTTCAAATGGCATCTTTGACAACAGTATTATATAAAATTATTTGCATTCCGATTCTGACATCCAAAGGCACAACAATACATTTTTTCCTCTTATTCCATAGATTTTACCCGTTTCCCTCCACTTGTTACCAGTGTTTTTGCGTGCGCAGCTGCATGTGACGTCTACTCCAAATTGGTCTAT